TTTACACGCGAATTCGTCCTGTTAGGAGGTCTCAAATTCGTCCGGTTTCGTGGGTCTCGTGCCGAAACGGACGAATTATACTCCGGTTCCAAATTCGTCCGGTACCGTGTAAACGTAGTCTAAGTGAAATACATACATATGGGAAAATCGTCAGTAATTATATATAACAAATTTTAAAAAAATACATGCACAAATTAAAATACTCGGTTTCTGACCAGATTGCCGTGTGGTAGTCGGATCAATTATTTATCAAGGTTTCTAAACCCATCTTAAAAGCAGTGAGAGAAGTTACTGATCTGAGAGACCCTGGTAGGCTATTCCTGATAAAAAAGCTCCACTAGCTGTAACTAAAGGAGCGTTTCAAAAATAATCTGTGCGTGCAGATTTTGGGATATAAAGTTTACCATCAGAGTCTTTCAGGTTATAAACACTCTCACTGGGAGAAACCCAAACCATCCCAGGTGCATAATAGGAAAATAAGGTTCAACCAAACCTTGACTGTTGCAGTTTGCTGATGCAGTTTTGAGGAAGACTGGTGGTAGCCTCCTCCACAGGCATCTCACTCGGGAATTGTTTTATTTCAATACCCATTCGCAGGCTAAGACCCATAGAGAGGCCTGCGGACTCAGTGCGGAGGGGGTAGAGTGGGGGCATGCAAGCCTAGTAAAATTTCAGCCTGTTACTCCAATAAGTCCCTTCAAACATGGCTGAAATAAAAAAGGCCCCAGGGAGCTTATAGTAGAGGATTTAGCGCAGTGTTCACAATGATCGATCCTGGTTTGCCAGGGTGGGATGGCTTTGATGTACTGAAATAAGTCACCAGGCTTAATTATACAAGAAAGTTCCAATGCCGGTTCCGAGTCCCTCGGCCTGCCCGGTTAAAAGAACTCGAATGTTGTTGAGAAGATTTCGTAGTTGAAGAACGTCATTATTGCTACTTGAACAACCTTTCTTTTACAATTATAGCCTACTATGAGTGGTTTTGCTGAATCATGCATTTCACTAGTACTAGAAGCAATACTTTGAAATCATCTTACCTCATATCTTGTTCCAAAAGGACAGGGGCCGGTTGTATAAAAAAGTGATTAAAGTTAACTATGATTAAGTGCAAACGTCATCCAATAAGAAGCGCCTATTTGAGAGTTAATCACTATTTAAGTACAAAATAGTGATTAAAAAAGTGATTAATAGGCCCGTTTCAGACGGCGTACTTATCATGCGCCGAACTTAATTGATGAATTAGGTACGGCAGAAGAGCGACGTATGAATCAATTAAGTACGGCAGAATTTGGAGCGGCAAAAGTTCGACACAAGTTCGGCAGAGCTTGTCGCATTATGCGACGCCGCTCCACTCATGTGCCAAACTTAACTCAACTTTAGTCTAAAAATGAACTTATTTATTTTGAATTTTATTTAGGTTTCGCTGGCGAATGCGCCCCAAGCTTGTCAATAACGTTGTATTTGGTACGCCGTTTGAATCACTGCCGTTCTTGTGTCGCATCTAATACAATTAAGTTCGGCACATGAAGAGTACGCCGTCTGAAACGGGCCTAAGAGTTTTATACAACCGGCCCCTGGTCCTTACACAGAAGACAAAAATATAAATACAGTATGCTAGTACAAAAATTATTTAATGACAGTTCTATTGTGGTTATAAATGAAACACAAATAATCCATGATTGAACAATTAAATATTCTACTGATTCTTCAATCTAATCTCAGCTGCATGTTATCATAAATTGTACATGAAAATTCTAATTGGAAGTTAAAACGACTTAGAAATTAGTCCCGTCATTTGACTCATTTCGATTAAAAATGGTTCAACTGGCTGCAGAGTAGAGTTGTTACTGTTTTACGCGCTGCGTTAAATTAATCAGCACATATAGTCCAGTCAATCTGTGACCAGAGCTCGAGGTCAAAGAAATTGCAATAGAATTTTTTTCACTGGTAAAATGTGAGGGAAGGTGTCCTGATTAACATACTAAAAATCAAAAAATCCCTTCGGTGGAACATGGTGAAAATTGAGAGAAAACCATTGTGGACAGAATGTTCAAATTTTGAAATCATTTTTAGGCAAATGTAACCTACATTATTGGAAAGCTTAAACAGAACTATATAGAGGTCAATTAAACCGTTATATTCAATTTACTAACCAGTCTGTCGTTATTCTAGCTCAAAGATGGAAAAATAGCGCAAAATTTGCACAAAATACAAATTTATGGCATTTTAAATCTTGTATAACTTCGGCTGGATAGGCAAAAGCAAGGTAACCGTTTAATGATCTATATTTTAGTTTTTTCTAAGCTTTCCAATGATGCAGGTTATATTTGCAAAAACATAATTTCAAAATTTCAACATTTTGTCCGCAATGGTTTTCTATAGGTAGAAGTAAGAACAACTCGATTTTTACCATGTTCCACCGAAGAAACTTTTTGGGATTTTTAATATGTTAATCAGAACACCTTTTCTCACACTTTACCACTGAAGAAAATCTATTGCGATTACTTTGCTCAAGACCATGTACTTATAGTGATCTGACTGGACTAATAATCATATTCATATGTTGAACGATACCAAAAACTTTTTTATTTACATCTTAATAATTACATCCGAGCTGAGCGTCACCGCTTGACGTGTTGGCGCCGAGCAAGTTCCCCCCGAATGAACAGTAGAGAACTTACGATTTTAGGACGGCAACGCGACGGCAACGACTACCAATAAAATAGATCATTGAAAATAATTGAGTAATTACAATATATGAATAATTTAGACATTGTTCTCGCTCTGTTTACAACGCTAAATCACAGATTTTCACGTCTTGATACAACGGCTGCATTCCAAGCCACAACAAGTGCAACTTCAAACTGGGTTTAGCAGAACTCTTCCCAACCATAAAACCCATGTCTTCAACTTCTAAGACTGTATTAAATTCATACGATTGATAATATACGACAAACTATCTTTACTACCATTTATTTGAAGGAATTTGTTTTGCCGTCGCCGTCGTGTTGCCATCCTAAAATCGTAAGGCCTCTATGTCCTCCAAGTGTGCGCGCCCGAAAAGTTATCACCTTTCATTGCAGAATGAATATTCCTCATAATTATTTTCCTTTTGTCTTATGTTTTATTACGCATGCCTATTCGATCTACAATGAAAGGTGATTGCTTTTCGAGCGCGCACACGTGGGGGAAATATGTTCATTCGTGACTGAAATTATTCAACATGTTGAATACTCGGTGCCGATGGCACGCGTGGCTGAAATCGCTCAAAACGCCACCGCACACTGGGGGAACTTGCTTACGCCAACACTCACGAGTCACGCTCAGCTCAGGCTGCTCAGCTGATAGCTAATAGCCAGGCCAGGGGTGGAAAAATTTTTGCTCAGCTGATAGCTGATAGCCAGGCCAGGGGTGGAAAAATTTTTTTTCTTTCTGGGAACCTGGGTCGAAGGCTAGAAATTTTCTGTAAAATTTGTAATGTTACAATTACAAAAATAACAAAACAAATGCATAATTATTGTATTATTTGTACTTTAGCAATAATGGGCTTTAGGCTGGTTTTCGTACGCTTGTACATCACAATAGTTGTGACCAACTAGTAAGGATCTTGATTTTTTCTGTGTTGGTGTTATGTACTAAGTTGAATATGATGTTTGTGTTGTTACTTTGATAATATCATGATTGCGGGTATTCCCTTTGTTCTCGCAGGGCAATTAATAACTAATACACCTCATTATATTCATTTTTTCTAATCCTACCCGCTTTTACGTCATGTCAGGTAGAATTGGTTGTAATCCTACCCGAAACGACGTCAAAGCGGGTACGATTAGAAAAAATGAATATATCTGAAATCGCCAAAACTAAACAAAGACATGGAAAACAATTATACCATTTAATTTATACCATTATTTATTGTTAATTGGTTTTTAATGGCCCTGCGAGAGCAACGGGAATACCCGCAATCATGATATTACAAGGTAATAGCATAGAAAGAGGCGAATTAGCTATTGAAAACGTCCCGCCCGATGAGGGTCGTTTAGTAAAATTCCCTTGAGCGCCGCTCGATTCGGGTCATTTAGTAAAATTCCCTCGGGCCTTCGGCCCTCGGGAATTTTACTAAATGACCCTCATCGAGCGGCGCCCAAAGGAATTTTACTAAACGACCCTCATCGGGCGGGACGTTTTAATAGCTAATTCGCCTCTTTCTATGCTATTACTTATAAGTGTATATCCACACCGGGCAAACTTGAAAAATATGCCTGGCCACGATGGGAATCGAACCTACGACATTTGGATTACTAGCCCAATGTTCTGCCAACTGAGCTACGCGGTCAGGTCGGTTCGAGTATGTGATATTTCGGAACTGAGTTTAGTTCCTTTGACATCAATGTGATTTATCTAGTATTCCAAAGGTCGTATAGGTTCGATTCCCACCATGGCCAGGCATATTTTTTAAGCTTGCCCGGTGTGGATACACACTCAGAGTAACATCACAAACATCATATTCACCTGGGTACACAACACCAACACAAAAAATCATGATTTTTAGATTACATTGATGTCGAAGGAACTAAACTCATATGCTTGTGATGTTACTCTGAGTGCATATCCACACCGGGCGAGCTTGAAAAATATGCCCGGCCACGGTGGGATTCGAACCTACGACCTTTGGAATACTAGCCCAATGCTCTGCCAAACATAGTAACATCACAAGCATATTATTCACCTGAGTACACAACACCAGCACAGAAAAAATTCATATTACAAGAACACATTGGTATTGAAGGAACTAGATACTGTTCCGAAATATCACTTACTCGAACCGTCCTGACCGCGTAGCTCAGTTGGAAGAGCATTGGGCTAGTATTCCAAAGGTCGTAGGTTCGAATCCCACCGTGGCCGGGCATATTTTTTAAGCTCGCCCGGTGTGGATATACACTCAGAGTAACATCACAAGCATCTTATTCACCTGAGTACACAACACCAGCACAGAAAAAAAAGAACTAAACTCAGTTCCGAAATATCACATACTCGAACCGACCTGACCACGAAGCTCAGCTGGCAGAGCATTGGGCTAGTATTCCAAAGGTCGTAGGTTCGATTCCTACCGTGGCCAGGCATATTTTTGAAAAATGCCCGGTGTGGATACACACTCAGAATAACATCACAAACACCATAGTAAGGATCTAACGCTTAACTAAGTGTCCTATAATCTTATTTATTCCATCACTTTTATTTGTTTTACTATTTAATTTGCATTTTATTGGAGACTTTGCAGAGCATATATTTAGGGTGGGGTGGGTACAGTGTAAATAAAGTACAATAGTTGTAACTTGTAAGTTGAGTAAACAGAGTTATCTCAAAATGTTGAAATTTTTCTGGAAAATTTTCTGCAAAACTCTCAATTCAAAAAAATTTCTGGGAACTAGGTTCCCAGGTTCCGATACTTTTTCCACCCCTGCGCCAGGCTTAAGATCCCAGTTTGCCGTGACGGTATGGAAAGCGGGATCATGATTTTGATGTATTGTAATAAATCACTAGGCTTAAACGTTCAAACGCAAGTTAAAAGAACTCGAATGTTATCGAGAATATCTTGTGGTTCAAGAAGATTATTATTGCTGCTTGAACAACCTTTCGTTTGCAATTCGCGATTCCCTTTATTACGTTTTCGTAGCGCTTTGCATTGTGGTTATAGTGGTATCACTGATAAAGATAGCGGCCTCGAATGAAAATATTGAATGTTTTCGCGAACATTTTGCTGTTGGCTATCGCACACCTGACCCTAGCTTTTTTTTTACGGTTCTTGCATGGGTCAGGATAAAAAATAAGCCATCTTGAATATCACTGATAGTGTGATACCACTATAACCGAATCACGAATTATATACTATACTAGACTATCAATAGAGAAAAAAATTATTTTTGCTGAATTGTGCACCGCGTGACCTATTTCAATACAACAAAATAATCCCGCGATTCCCGCCTCACATCTCGCCCCGGCAAAGCGAGATTGTGTGAACAACTCCTGAGCTTAGAGAGAGTCACATAGAAGTTGCAACATAACTCATAAATTACGGATTATATGACTATTTTCTTCTATATTAAATCTTACCCACCCTGTCAACTTTCTATGTGGGAGGAAACCGGAGCACCAGGGGAAAACCCACGACTTCGGCGGAGCGTTGACCGACTCTTTTCACATGATGAACACAACTAACTCATGATCTCAGAGGTGAAAGGCCGAAGTCCCTCTAATAATACTGAATAAATGAATTAAATTTTAAGTAAATCACATAAAATGAATACAGAAACTAGCCTATAGTTCTTGCCAAGCGAACTTAAAATACTCTTAACACCTATATCAATCTTGCATCCCCAGGGCCTCACAGAGAAATTCGGGGGCCCGGGGCAAATTTTTAATTCGGGGCCCCTATTTTTCCCAAAAAATGTTGGCCAAAGAAAGGTTCAAAATATTTCTTCCGCACAAACACCAGTATTAAGGTTCAAAAAAATTTTCCGGACAAATACCTGTAAAATCAGGGGTAAAATTAAGGGCTAAAAAGGGGGTAAAATTAAAAGGGCAAAATTAAAAGGGGTAAAATTAAAAGGGGTAAAATTAAGGGCTAAAAAAGGGGTAAAATTAAGGGATAAAATTAAGGGCTAAAAATTTAACCAGTAAAATTAGGGCAAAAAATTTTTCTCAAACATTACTATTATAAAAATTGTTTTTAATTACACCTTTTGGGGCCCCTTTCACAAATTTTGGGGGGCCCTTTGCCAATTTTGGGGGCCCTTTAACTGGGGCCCCGGGGTAATCTCCCCCCCCCCCTGGGAAACCCAGTGCACTCCAAGCCAATTCAAGAATTTGTCTGCAACTGCAGAAAGTCAAGCTGGGCGGTTGAACTCCCAAGACTCAAGTCTACCGCATCTGTGTTAAGTTCCTTTTTACTGCCCCCCCTTCAAAAAAATTGTTTAGCATTCGAGAAGCAATAGGCCAAGAACTAGGCTAGATGGAAACATGCAATTAACAAAACATGTACAAATTAATTGTCAAAATAACATCATTTCACCATACCCCTTATTCCGTGTCTTTAAATGATGAACAGTTTGTTACACAGGAGGTGCATGACGATTTCCTAGGATAAAAGGAGTGCATTTTCCATTTGATCGAATTGGGGTTTCATCTGCCCTTGCTACGAGCCTCAGGTGTAGAGCTACTTCCCTTGTCTCACTGTTCGGAACGAAATCCAAAACATCCTCAAATGTCTGTTCGCTTTGCCCTTGCATTGTCGTAGCACCTGGTATCCATTCTATTGGTGCAGATGAATTGTTCTCGCTACGTTCGGCCTTAGCGTCGTTTGGTGCAGTTCCTCCTCCAACGAGTCCGAACTTTATGATAACGCGGGACCCATCCTTAATACCATAATCCACTAGCTTCTTGTTTAGTTTATTAAGTGGTTTCCAACCATTAATTAGAACGGTTGCTGCATCGCAACTGAACAGAGACGAAATAGACTGATGAAATTCAATGTCGGTCATGGTCAAAGAGCATGTCGCCAAGCGGACTTCGCTTTCCCCAGTATAGCAGGTTATTTTCATTTTGGCAACTTCTGGTGTAAAAGTCACTTGAATACAGCCATTTTCTTCAATATTTCTTTGGTCGATGCCAGAGTCTGGTGGGGCATCCCTAACGGCGAAAAATTTAAACTGTCCGTCAGTGTTGCTTGGTCGATCCAACGTAAATTCATCTCCTGCCTCTATAACTAATCCTGGAAAAATGACACGTCCGTCTATTTTTACTTTGCATTTACATCTATGACTGTTGAAGTTGTTAAGGACTAATTCATAACTTTGTCCGCTTTGTAAGTGCACGTAGTCGTCTCCCTCGTCATTTACCAAATGTTCCCCTCCATCTATACCCAAACGATAGCCAGAACTTTCAACGTAGTTCACACTTTTCGATCTGAGGCGAGACTTGCGAGAGCTATCAAAGTTTTCGACTTCACAAGCTAAATCTTGTCGCCAGATTTTTTTCAGCGATTTCTGAAGGAATTCAAGATTCCCAGGTCCGATATGTCCACGTCTTTCAAGTTCTTCGAAGAGCCCAGACGGTATTTCACATAAAGCTTTTCTTTTTCCTGCTGGGATTTTAAAATAATATGCTAGGTCTACCCTATCAGCCAATGTTAGTTCATTTGCAATATACAACATAAGGCCACGGAACGTTTCAGAATCTTGGTTCATAATTAGTTCAGTTTTAACGCCTCTAACCAGAGTTCGACTTTTTACGTAACAGCAACAAAATGCAACAACATATGCTTTCGCTGAGTATCAATTCTGTTTCAGATATTGTTAATACAATATTAAATAAAATGCTCAAGGGGTAAGGGAAATTCCCTGGGAAAGTCCCTATTCTAAAGAGTGGCTGATGAAACCACACTAATTTTTATTTGGCCATATAAAGTGAAGAAAAGCAAAGTAGCAATCTTTATATCTCATAATCTGACAATGTAAACATTAAAACACAATGTAACAGCTCCAAATGTTCTATAAACTGCTTTTTGAAAATCTGTTTTTCTTTCGTTTTCTCAGATTGACGTAAAAAATGTCATGCTCACTGCACAGGGTCAAAAGATTACTTATTATGTGAAGTTTATTTGCATCTCTAGAAAACGCGCAGATGTGGATGTGGTGGGACTCGAACGAGAATCAGGAAAGCATAATTCTGAGACTCTAGATTGCTCTAGTCCAAAATAGCTTAATGGCCGAATTGAATACATCTAAAGTCTATACTATATCAAAGAATTTCTATCCAAAGAAAACACTTTTGAGCTTCACTTAGTTCAATTCTCCAGTCACCAGTGTGTTGAAATTTGTCGCGAACATGTCACACAATTCAATAGAATCACCCAAGTTCAATAGAATCACGAAAATTGTTCACACAACATTTCGCACGAAACGATTTGCTTACCATAGTGGCATGATGACGCATAAAAGAGCACATGCTGGAATCAAACCTCATGAATGCGATGTTTGCAAAAAGAGATTCTCATTACCGATTCATTTAAGTAGAACATACGAGAACGCATACTGGGGAGAAACCGTATGAATGTGACGTGTGCAAAAAGAAGTTTGCACGATCATCTGAGGTGAAAAGTCATAAAAAGATTCATGACTTGAATAAACCTTACGAATGTGGTGTTTGCAAGAAAGGTTTTTTTAAACCAATCACCTTGGAAAGACATAAAAAGCGACACAATGCAAGACCTCAAATTTATGAATGCGACGTCTGCAAGAGGAAATTTGCTTACGAAGGGAACCTAATGCAGCACAAGATGACGCATTTGAAAGATGCTCCGATCTCGTGTAAAATTTGCGGCAAAGAAATTTGTAAATCGCAAGACATGAAAAAAGCTAAAATGTTAAAGTTGATCCCACTCAAGGCGAAGACTCATGGTCCTGATGCATCGTATCAATGCAATACGTGTCAAGAAATACAATCAGCCGGAACTGGCTATGTCTGTTCTTTCTGCGGCTGTGGGTTTGATGCCCTGAGTGAACTTCAAGATCACATGGTTATGCACAATGCTAACTAAATCTGACTAGACTTTTTCAGACACCAGTTACATGATACTAGATTTGCTTGTCACGACATTGAATTTAACGGTTAGGTTTTTAGGTTTAACTTTAATTAACACACGTAATATGTCAATGATATTAAAAGCAAAACCTGCTAAAAGGGGAAATTTTGTTGGGCAGGCATTACTCCTGAAAAGCGTATGCTGATGTCGTAAAAAAGCAAATCCGATCGTGTAACTGGGGCCTTAGTTAATGGTAGTTTGGTTCTTCATGGTTTATACCAGGTGGCAGCGTGGCGCAAAGAAATGTTCCCCCTTTTTGATTTATTGTAATTAATAAACTAAAGAAGCCATCTTATTCAAATAAAGTTTATTGAACGCAGTGATGTCCGACTTAAATTTTGGTGTATGCCTTAAACATTCTATAGAATATTAGCCGGGATATAGGTGTTTAAACTGAAGAGTCAAGGTAGCATTTTTGGAAGAAGCGAAAAGTGGCCATTTTATTACCATAATGCACATTAATAGACCATTTTAGGTCTCAGCTAATAATTTATAGAAATGAGCAAGGCGTATATCAAAATTTAAGTTAGACATAAGTATATTAAATACATTTTATTTGTGTAAGATAGATTTTTCAGTTTGTTAATTACACTGAGTCAAAGAGGGGGAACATTTTTTTGTGACACCCGGTATACTTCTCATTTGGGTGTTGTCTCAGTCTATTGATGACTGCTAAGCATGATGGTAAAATATAATTAAAAGTTCAGTTTCTCTATTTAACAATAAAGGTTAATGAGGTTTATCATTTCATTATCTATTGTCTTAATTGCATTTGACGCGACCAAAATTCGACGTATAAAACAGACCAAAAGGCGGATTTCCAGTCCTCGCACCAAGCTCCTCGCAACTCGCTGCGAGTGCTTGCATCTAATTAAAATTAACTGTTTAGCATTGTGATTGGATGAAAGTGCTCATGCATGCACTTAAAAAGCAAAGTAGCAATCTTTATATCTCATAATCTAACAATGTAAACATTAAAACATATTTGTAATAGCTCCAAATGTTCTATAAATTGCTTTTTGAAGATCTATATTTCTTTCGTTTTCTCAGATTCACGTCACAAATGTCATGCTCAGCTGCACAGAGTCAAAAGATTTGAATCATTATAAACTACGAATTTGAAATTATGTGAAGTTTATTAGCCTCTATATGAAATGCGGATACCGATGTGATGGGACGCGGACGCAAATTTCAAAATTTTCATCGAACGAGAATGAAAGCATAATTATGAAACTCTAGTCCAAAATGGTCGAATACATCTGAAGCCTATACTGTATATTTGCGTATTTCGTCAATCTGCTATTAATAAATGATCAGGCCTCCACCGCAGAACCACCTTAAAGCATCTGCAAATAACAGAAAATACTGAAAAAACTGGAAGCGAATACACGGGAGTGATGGGAAGATTTAAAACTCCCGCTGCTGCGGGAATACTTTTTCCACGTAAGCTCCTGGCAAGCTAGAAGACAGTTCATTGGGTGTTTGTCAGTTCTTGAAGAAAATTAAAAATTGTTTCTATGTATTATATAATATTTTATATTATAGTTAATAAATAATTTTCCAAAAGAACTTAATGGTTTACTATTGTCACTGATGTCTAATCATCGTGTCTAATTAGATAACGAAGTTCGTCAAAAATATTAGTGCAAACAACAAACAGCAGGCATGTTTACATTTATATTTATTTACTAAAATTTATTTACCCACGCTGACCCCTTCAGCATGGGCTGATTTCCAAGGGGGAGAGGATGGGCCGATTTCCAAGGGGGGGGGGCGTCATGTCACATAAAAATAACTATATACATATTATTTTATACAAGCATATACACTACTTAAATAGACAATTAGGTTAATTAGACAAGTAGGTCAGGTTAACATCCGAAATCAAAGCGTTAAAAAATGTTTAATGATGAAGAATTTCTTAGCTTGCGCGGTAAGCTATTCCAGAGTTTTGGTCCATTATAACTTATGCATTTATATTGTCATTAAAAATCAATTTGTGTGTTGCACAATCAAATGCGACACAAAATTAAAAACCATATCATACATAAAGCAATTAGGTATAAAAGTTATACAATATTTACAAGTTATTCAGGGAGCTTCCATCGCCAATAATCGACCTGTACAATTTATGTATAACAAAGTTGAACTACAGTCAAACCCCTATTAATTTACGGACGCTTCTCTTAAACCGACAACCCTTTTTAGGCCGACATAACTAATAAGCTTTGCATGGTCCCATTTAGCCTCCTCCGCAGGCATCGCCTTTCGATTATCGGACAAAATTTCTTGCAGGCAAAAAAATCTCACCGACTTTCTGAAGTACGTGAACTACGAGATGCCTGCGGAGGCTAGGTCCCATTGTTACGATGGCCCACAAGGGACATGCAAACTTAAATAAAGTCGGTGCAAACTTAAATAAAGTCGGTGCAAACTTAAATAAAGTCGGTGCAAACTTAAATAAAGTCGGTGCAAACTTAAATAAAGTTGGTGCAAACGTAAATAAAGTCGGTGCAAACGTAAATAAAAACTCGGTGCAAACTTAAATAAAAACTCGGTGCAAATTTAAATAAAAACTCGGTGCAAACTTAAATAAAAACTCGGTGCAAACTTAAATAAAAACTCGGTGCAAACTTAAATAAAAACTCGGTGCTTAAATAAAAACTCGGTGCAAACTTAAATAAAAACTCGGTGCAAACTTAAATAAAAACTCGGTGCAAACTTAAATAAAAACTCGGTGCAAACTTAAATAAAAACTCGGTGCAAACTTAAATAAAAACTCGGTGCAAACTTAAATAAAAACTCGGTGCAAACTTAAATAAAAACTCGGTGCAAACTTAAATAAAAACTCGGTGCAAACTTAAATAAAAACTCGGTGCAAACTTAAATAAAAACTCGGTGCAAACTTAAATAAAAACTCGGTGCAAACCTATTCAAAATATAGATGCAAAGTTTAATAAAAATATACATGCAAACTAATAAAAATAAATGTAGATGGAAACTGTTGTATTATATAATGTAGAAAATAGCAACTGATGTAAAAACAAAATACAAAGGCACTGCACAGTCGTACAATCAATTTTGTTTTGTCGAAGGGAACGTAAAATGATATTGTGAACTGCGTGCAGGCCTCTTTGATTGTTTCTATTCTATTCGAATCGGGCTATGGTATATTCCATCAGTGTACAATGATTTGTCGTGCCCATTTCGGATCGCATTTTTGAAATGTATTGTATCTTTTGTGGAGAAGAAGGAGCAACTGACGGTGTATGCGATGAATGCTCAATAGAGAAAAGTGTTGAACAACTAATAACGCACTATTTCCATTATGGATACCCCTACGATGCAATTGTCGGTCTTTTAAATAAAAAAGACATTCATATGAGTGTGCGAACTCTAAAGAGGCGTTTAAGATCTCTCGGTTTGAGAAGAAAAGGCAATACCACGGTGATAGATAACGAAACAATCAGAACAGCAATCCAAAAAGAAATGGAAGGAGCAGGGAAATTATCGGGCTATAGAAGCATCTGGCACGCATTGCGGTTAAGACATCATATTCATGTACCTCGCAACTTGGTGGCAGAAATAATGAAGGAAATTGATCCTGTTGGTGTAGAAGAAAGACGAGCACGAAGGTTGAAGAGAAGAATATTCACTTCTAGAGGGGCAAACGCTACATGGCACATGGATGGTAAGTTATACTCAAGGTATTGAGGAGTATTAGCCATTCCGAAGTTGATGAGAGAACTAGGGACGAGTGTTAAACTGCCCGAATTAAGAAATGAACCAAATCACTAAAACGACCACCTCAAAATTACAGAATTTGAAGACGTTTATACGAATATCCTTCGAATAATAAGCTTTCGAATATGCGATATTTACTATGAAATGTGCTGTAATTTCTCTTTTTGGGGACGCGCGCGTCCCAAAAACAGTCTTTTAATCAGTAATTTCACAATTTTTGGAAGCTTGTTGGTATTCATGTGTTGGTATTCATGTAAAGGTCTTCACATTTTGTATACTTACTAATTTTGAGGTGGTCTTTTCAGAGATTTGATTCATTCCCAATCTCGTACCCAGAGCCATCGTTGAGTGGCTCTGGCCACACGGGATTGAAAAACGACCCTGATTGGTCGATCCATAAGTTATTGAACCCATACCCCCTGTGGCGTTCACGAGCTCGGCCAATATGAGTGAATACGATATATTTTGTTTTATTTGGGCTGAAAAGTTGCTTATTTTGACGAATTTTTTGTTGCTTTTCGTCCGAAAAAGTGGTGAAGGGATTAAGGAGTTGATTTATGCATACTTGAATTCATTTGGGCAAAATAACAGCCTTCGTTATGGTAATAATTCATACTCTTGGTTCACCCTGAGTGAGTATTGATGGGAATGATGGCATATGTGACTCCTTGATCTACTATATTGGAGTGTTATTACAAGCGTACACGTATGCTAGGACTGTGTACAAGATTGGGATTTTTTAATTGAACTGTAAATGTATGAATCATGGTATGAATGTAACAATTAAACAGCATTTGGATTCTTTTGCAACCTGTCAATTCGTTTGATAGAATTGTTTGATGATACAATATATTGTTTCTGTTTACAGTATTGCCTGTACAACTCTGTCAGAAACATTGGTGTTTATAGCAGCCCAAAAAGGTTTCCATTAATTTAAAGGCCATGTAAAGTAAGCAAACCCTTTGTTTACATTCTGAAGTCTGAACCCAGTGCTATAGTTGTAAAGTATTAGATATGCATTATACTGAATTTTTAACTCTTCTGGTTTGCTATGCTTGTAAATGAATACAGACTAGAGATTCAATTCAAGAAAGTTTGGAAGGTGCGAGATATTAATAACATTCCAATGATCGGGTCCCGACCATTGGAATGTAGGCCTGCAGAACGCATGCGCAGAACAGACTTTACATGGTCTTTAATAATAGCAGAATGTACTATGTGCAGTATGTAATAATATGAAACAGTCTACACAATTTATACAATGGTGCCAATAAAACTGGTAAATATGATAAAACGCGAGTTTGAGTATTTTGAATAGCTTAAAATACGACTACAAAAGAATGCTAATTAGGATGAACAATTATATAATCATACTAATTAGGATGAACAATTATATAAAGAATACTAATGAATATGAGTTTTATCAGATATAAAGTCCTCCATGCACGTGACATATTATGGCTGACATGTTTGCAACAAGGTTGTAAAATTATAGAAAGTATATAAAGAAACGACCAAAGCGTCAACTAATTTTAAAAATGTCCAGGGAAAAATGCAGGCTTCCAAAGTTTTCCGAACTTTTGTCCCCGTCCTCTCATGTCTGTCCCTGAATGGACGACTTGCGCTTTAGAAAATTTTTTAATCTGGGAATAACAAAGGATATTTTCGGAAAGAAATTATCAAAATTAGAAAAACTGCAAAGTTTGGTTGCAAAATGTTGTAAAATACGGAAAATATAGCCCTTCGAAGTTGGCAAATTTGTATACATTTCTATTACGTGCGGAAATTGGTAACTGATTTAGTTACCAATTCGCGCACGTAATACAAAAGTATTCAAATTTGCCAACTTTGAAGGGCTATATTTTCCGTATTTTACAACATTTCGCAACCAAACTTTGTAATATTACTAATTCCAAGACGCTCTTTCTAGCTGTGGTGATAGATTTCGTTGTTCTTACTTAGATTAAAATTTAGTCTAAAGCGCAAGTCGTCCATTAGTAAAGGTGGAGTAATAAGAGAACAAAATTGCAACAAAATCTGATTTCTACGCATGTTAATTGAAAATATTTTCACATAAATTACAATTCGCGAGGCAACGCGTGTCAACATTTCTGCTTAACATGCGTTGAAATCAGATTTTGTTGCAAGTTGCAGCAATTTTGTTGCTCGTATTACTCCAGCTTAATGTTTGCATTTGACTTCCACTACCCCTCCCGCTACCATAGCACCGCTACCATTGAGGGGCCACTAACCGTCAGACGCGTTTAATCTATCCTATTCACGAATCACATGCGCACTTAATCAGTGCATAGTGTCAGTGAAAGTTAACGGTAGTGGAACTCAAATCTAAACCTCACTAATTCTAGTCCGCTATTCAAGATTCAGAGATGGGCTGTTGGTAAGATGACTTGGTTCGGTGGGTTGGGGCGAAATACGCAGGGGCCACGATTGTCAAAAGGGTTCAGAAAAGTTTAATAGAGTCAGCTGCAAAGTATATATAGCTTGTAAATTATTCATATGGGTCTTAAATGAAGCCCATCTCCTTGGTTACTACCAATTGACCATAAAGGCCTCCAAAACACTGCACATTGTTTAGCCCCCTTCTCTTTAAATGTTAAGTGAGGATGGACAAGACAAAGCTGAGAGGTCAAAATGTTTGCTTGGATCCACCGAATAACTTTTATAATATTAGTGAACAATGAACTATCGTGCTTCCTATTCAATGCATTCGATCGAAATTGCTGCTTAAGGAGACAAAAATGCGAATATTTTATTGTCACAGTTATGTTTTAACTCTCCCTATTGATTTCCAACGCGCATGCTGACAATGACAGGCAATCTCGGAGTGCCAGTCTTCATGCAACCTCAAGTAAGCATATCACACGTACTATGGCAATGAACCCCACTTTTCAATGCAAAATTTGCCAGTTACTACTCTAAACATAGTTTCTTTTGTATACCATTTGTTCATTTCATACTATGTAATTTAACAGGGTACGACAAGCTAAAGCCATACGGCTTTCCCATTCATGGTGCTGTTGACGGATATAGTCGTAGGATTCTATGGCTGGAAGTCTCCCGATCTAACAATAATCCCAAAGTAGCAGCAACGTTCTATCTAAATCAAGTTAAGGAGATGAATGGGTGTCCTTTACAACTTATATCTGACTGTGGTACAGAAAATGGCATTGCTGCTTCTATGCAGTGTTTCTTTCGTCAAAACGGCAATGATGAGCTAGCAGGTGACAGGTCCCATAAGTATAGCTCTTCCCCTTCCAACCAACGTATAGAAGCATGGTGGTCCTATTTTAGGAGACACAGATCGAACTGGTGGATAAACCTATTCAAAGACATGATTGACTACGATATGCTTGATTTGGGCAACGAATTTCATGTTGAATGTTTGTGGTTTTGCTTTTCAAAGGTTCTGCAGAATGATTTGGACAAAGTCAAAGAACATTGGAACAGCCACAAAATTACCAAATCCCCATACAGTATTGTTCATGGAGTGCCAGATATTATGTATTTCCTGCCAGAATACCATGGAAATGATGAATGTTTGGTAGATGTGTCGCAGGAACAGATAGATTCAATGGAGGAGCATTGCGAGATACAGGAATTAGGCGAGAACATACATCATGAATATTTTGTTTATGTGTTGGAAACAGAAGGTTTATCTTATCCAATAAATGAAGGAGAAGCCATGACACTATATCAAAGATTAGTGCAATTACAAAACGAGTAATAAATGAATTGGACAAGCAGTTTTTATCAAGAATTAATTGTAACAGAACATCAATAAAGTAAATTTTATTAAATCAACAACTCAACAATAAACCCAATGATTTTACAATTGACGACCAACGTCTGCGCAAACGTCAACATTGACGGTTATTGGCATTATCCGCGTGTGTCTTCTTGTAGAACTGAGAACAAATGACTACATGTTTTGCGCACTAGAAATAATTACAGCCAGCGATTTAAAAAAAGTAGCATTTTGAAATTACCTATGTACGTTTACCGCCATTTAAGTTCTCACGCATGCGCAGACGCAGGTATTTCGACAATTTTCTATTAGCCCAAATTGAGACCCGGTTTACACTATACCGGATTGCTATCGGAGTGGGTCAAATTTTGTAGGTATCGAAAGGTTGTGAATATTTTAATTTAATCTCAGAGACACAAATAAACATGCCTGCCAATTCTGTCAAACTAATAAGCATTCGCCACTAACTATTGCTCCGTAACGGCAAAAGAAGATGTCGTGACCAGCGAATCCGGTATAGTGTAAACAGGGCCTGAAAGTATAGTAAAATATAAAGGCCCGTGCTCAAGAACTGTTCATTTCATTGTCAGTTGTTGTGAAGCAGACATGCCGAGTATCGGACAAAATATGAATATAAACATAATGAAAATCGTAACAAAATTATGTCCGCATTATATATTTGACATTATATATATGCTGTTAATAACACAAGCTTTTTCGTGAAAGGACTGTTTAGCATTTCTTAACCTAACCGCTTTCATCACACTATATTAAAGTGCCATGCATCTTTATTAGAAAGCAACTCACTAAATTCTTCTGAGAGCTCGTTATACGATTGGTAAGTTGAAGGAATTTCCAGCAATGGCCCACATGTATGTGCCACAGGTCTACGTGTTTTCCCATCCAGCACACTAAACGTTACTTCGATGTGTGGAAAACATATGACATCACTACCAGTGACAAACTGTAAAAATAGGGGTAAAAAATTTCCCTGCAATGACCGAATATACTTTTTCAAGTGATCTAAGCACAGTCGTTCCTTATCTGACGCTGGCTCCGACTGAATTAATTTTAAAACCTTTTTAGTGGTTGGCCTCTTGGCGTCATACATATGTTGCACATCTTTGACGGACTGAAAATCTGGAAGAATTTTCAAGGATTTAACAATAGGGGCCCAGCAATTTAATATGTACCTCGGTTTTTGAATGATCTCTTGATGAGCAATTTCGAAAATAATCTGGCGTATATTTTCTTTCGAGTGATTTCGAAAACACTTATAGTAACTCAAAAAATCCTTCACGTCGTCATCATTTGGGTCAAAATCGTCTTCGAAACATTTATCGAAGGTGTCTCTCTCGTCATCTGAGAGATGCTGGCGGAAACATGACAGCAAAAATTCACTAGAAACACTATCGTCACCAAACAAGCACACAATGAGGAAACCTAGTGACAGTGACAATGGAAAATACCTGTTCCTTATATACCCATATACTAATATACGAGCAATGGCCTCCCATTCCTCCTTCTGACAGTCATGCCTTATAGAAGGAATCTTTTCTTGTGCTCCAACAGCCAAGGAGTTGAAAAACTGGTTCCAGAATGTTGAGAGTGCATCACGGAAGACACCTTCCCCTTTTCCTTCTTCCATCTTTCCATTATAGCCAATAAACGTCACATCTAAGTTCATGTGAAATATTCCCTGCTCTTTAAATGTTGCTATCATGTCATTTTTCAGTAGTGTCCTGTGCCAAACGACAGAATAAATTGGACACTCTTTTACGTTCGAAGTAACGTCAATAAACGAATAGCCGTCTCCATTTGTGCCTGTGAAAACAAAACCATTTACGGGAAATGAATTATAAATTACGCCATATTTTCATACCGTGAAATTACGTAATTGAAAGTAGGATGTACAGTACATGTTCACTCAACGGCTTCTAATTCCGACTTACGAACTATAACACTTTAAAGTCGCACTGTCATAAAAAATTTTCTTTTCTTAATTAATTAAACGAAAATGCTTTTAAAACTGTATTGTAACTTGTTCCCATGCTTAGTTCTTAAGTTATTTCATTTTGTAACCATGTGACGTCATTTACTCAAGTACATATATAATGATATACTGTATCAGTAGTTGTTGTGTATCTCAGATACTGTATCAGATATTCAGATACTGTATCTGAGATACTGTATAAGTAATTGCGCTCATGTCGAATATTTCACTCAATAATATATAGACACAATAAAGAGCAACAGTGATGTTATAATATTAACATTAAATGTTGGAAGTAGAGCAAAAACCTTTATAATAAAGGCTCGCCTTTGAAACCCAGTCACAGCGCTTTGAATTTACAACTTGTCTCGGCAAACACTTGTTCATCACCGAACATCACACGCACGTGAAGGATTAAAGAAGCTGACCGAAGAGCATTATGGTAAAAAATACCGGCGACCATAATGCATCGCGCTTGGTTAAACTTCAGATTTCAACCCCCATTTCAAAGATTAGGTCTGCTGCCTTGCTCGGTCGCTTCAGGCGACCTCGATGCGGCAGCAATAATATACATAAAGATATTACTCGACTGTAATTGGTTGATTTCAGTGCAGTTATCCCAAACAGCAGTGCAATTTTCTGTAATCACAGTGCAATTTTCTGTAATCACAGTGCAAAAATCTGTAACAAACTGATCCGATTGGTGGAAAAACATTGTGATGATTAAATCAACCAATCAGTTTAAAGCAATTTAATTTAAAGAAGTAACGGTCACAGATTGCTTCAAAACAAAACAAACATGGCGCCGCGCTACACAAAGTAAAGGTTGCCTTCGCGTGGAAAATATGGCTTTTATTTTCATTTTTAAATGGAAAAGCATTTACCTTAAACAAGACTAACAAAAATTACATAGTTGAGTGGAATTTTAAAGCTTTTAGCGTTGTATAATGTGATATAACAAAGCCAGGAAAACTTTGCCAGTGGAATGTTCGCTATAAACGCGTAAGTTAAAAACTCATAGAAATAATAGACATAGGTCGAATAGGTCTAATATTTCTATGTTAAAACTACAATTGTCTCGAACATTTTTATGTAAATTATTAATAAGTAATAGCATGGTTTCTCGTGAAATTTGGATAAACATTTGAGGTCTTTGAAAAACTCACTCGTGCATGTTATATCCCATTCTCGTACCCAGAGCCCTTCTTACGCGCGGTGCGACGAGGGGCTCTGGCCAAATCCATATTCCGAACTGGCATCTGATTGGCTAGTTCTAACACCGGATATTGTTTTCTTACCATATTTTTATGGTATCCGGTTATGGGTACGAGAATGGTTATATCCAAATTGCACTCGAAACCATGCGTCATTTACTCAATTAGTATAGGTAATAGAGTGCAATTTGGATATATTATTATATATATATCGAGTGCAATTTGGATATATTAACATGCACGAGTGAGTTTTTCAAATACCTCAAAATAGCACGAGTCCGAAAAACGAGTGCTATTTGAGGTCTTTGAAAAACTCACGAGTGCTTGTTTATCCAAATTTTACGAGAAACCATGCTGTTACTTATTAATATTTACATAAAAATGCTCGAGACAATTGTAGTTTTAACTTACGCGTTTATATAGCGAACATTCCACTGGCAAAGTTTTCCTGGCTTTGTTATATCACATTATACAACGCTAACAGCTTGAAAACAGAGGCGTAGCCAGGATTTTTGGTCAGGGGGGCCAGCAAAAACCCAGGTGGGGCCAAGAAAATATTCCGGACCACAACATTTTAAATCTCTCCGACCACCCCTCCCCCCCCCGTCGACACCTTTTTTGGTAAAAAAATTTTCCAGACATTACAATTGCTTTTGTAGCACTTTTCCCGATTTCCATATCACTTTTCCGATGCTTCACCACAAAGATTCCGACAACATTGACAATTTTCCGACGGGTCTCAACTTGAAGCTATATAATCAAGGATTCCCTTTTTTATTGCTGCGTAGCGAGCGAGCCTGAAGCGAGCGAGCGAAGCAGCATTCTAATATGTGCAGAGAGGGGGTTTTGAAGTAAATTTTGTTTAGCGCATTGTATTGTGGTCGTGTGCGCTTGCTATGCGCAGAACACAAAATAACGTACGACATACAATATTTGTGGCGTATTTGAAGGATATCGTTTATTAGTATTTTTGCACAAGTGAACATAACAAATCCTACAAGGTGATTGGTCAAATTTGACGTATTAATCTGTTATATTCACCTACAGGTGAATACTAACAAAATCTAAATTTTCAAAATGGCGGCTAATCGTTTTGTTGAAGTTAGTGATAAAGAAATAAGCGAAATTAAAATGAATTCAGACAAGAAAAACACAAAAAAACTTGTGCAAAAATACTAAAACAATTATTCGCCTCAGGCTCGGTGATTATTGGGGAATATTCACCTCGACTTCGTCTCGGCGAATATTCTCCGATAATCACCTCGCCTTCGGCGAATAATTGTTAATTGTTTTGCTTGCTTCGACTTGTAAATTATTTTGACTCAGGCACTCAGCTAAGGTTTAGTAAAGTTTCAAGCCCTGTATAAAGGCCACAATTTAGTGTATAAAATAACGTGACTGCACTTCGTGCGTTGTTCACTCAATGGACTTTGACCACTGTAAGTTCTATATTTTAATTTCAATTATAAAGTTTTGGTTTCTTAGTTTAATTAACAATTATTTGCCGAAGGCGAGGTGATTATTGGTGAATAAAAACCGAGACGAAGTCGAGGTTTTTATTCACGATAATCACCGAGCCTGAGGTGAATAATTGTTTTAGTGTAATTTCATAGGTGACTATTTGGAAAAATAAGAAAATACACATTTCTTCGTCATTTAATTGACAAAAAGGCTTCGGTCGCCATTTTGAAAATCGCTTAGGTGATTATCGCGTAATAATCGCCTCAACGGCAACCAATTAGCGTGGAGAATTTTCAATAATCACCTACGTAATTATACGATGTGGTAAATGCGCCTAGCAGTATTAGACTTAATAATATGAAATCAGATAGCAAAAACTTGTGTTATATAATTTATACCTGCAGCCTAGTTCCTGGCCTTCTCGCTTCCGCCTCATTATTTTAGGGGGAATTGAACAAGGTTTGCATGTTGACCTGGATAAAGCTGTTCGGATATTTTGCGAAACTGACAGCCCGCAAGTTCACGACAGCCTGTAACTCGCCCGCGCTTGGAAGACCAGGGACTAGACTGTTATACCTGTACGTCTTAAGAATGCTTTGTCGTTTGTATTTATACGCGTACTAGAGCAGCGCGTATTAAATTCAACAAATTCCACTTGATCTTGAAAATATTATATATTCTTGCTTATGATTTAGTGAATATTGCTTCCATAAACATGAACATTAACACGCCTATCTGTAATCTGTGATTGCTCTTGAACCCGTGCATGGTCTTGGCAACAAATGCATTGCTTTTTCTCAGACACTGATGGCATGAATCCATTCCGTATTCCTTAAGCTCCGACCACAGTGCTCACAAGTCGCTGGCTCGCTGCGAGTAATAACGGCATGCTTTAGGTAACTTGTACTATTTTTAGTTCTATTTGCTGTTGATGCACGCAGCAATCCCTACCTTACAGGTACACTTACTAGTACTGTAGTACAATACATTTTATCAGGGGGCCCCAAAATTTAGCCAGGTGGGGGGGGAATTGCCAGGGGGGGCGCCCCCCCCCCGGCCCCAGCCCTGGCTACGCATCTGCTTGAAGATTCCACTCAACTATGTAATTTTTGTTAGTCTTGTTTAAGGTAAATGTTTTTCCATTTAAAAATAAAGATAAGCCACATTTTATGCCATATTTTCCACGCGAAGGCAACTTTTACTTTGTGTAGTGCGGCACCATGTTTGTTTTGTTTTGAAGCAATCTGTGACCGTTACTTCTTTAAACTAAATTGCTTTAAACTGATTGGTTGATTTAATCATCACAATGTTTTTCCACCAATCAGATTAGTGTGTTACAGATTTTTGTACTGTGATTACAGAAAATTGCATGCACTGTGATTACAGAAAATTGCACTGTTGTTTGGGATTAACTGCACTGAAATCAACCAATCACAGTAGAGTAACATATTATTACAAACAAAATGAAACATCTCAAGAACTAAGCATGGGAACATAAAATTTTCAAAACAAGTTACTGAGCATTTTCATTTTAAGAGAATAAAAATTTTGATGACAGTGACACTTTAAATAAAAATTGTTTGCTGCTGATATGATCAATCGTTTATTGACTATTAGCTAGGATGGGAATCATGACAAATGAAAAAATAATTTCAGAACAAAAGTTCTTATAAGATTTTCGTATCCATAAATATTGATCCTGAAGCGTTAAACTGTACACATATTTTAAAGGACAACCGCTGAGCATATTGTTGTCAAGTGGTCAAATGCCCGACCGGGCGGAATAAACTTCCATCAAATATCGCCTAAACGGAGGTAATCTTAAGTCAAATGTCCTGGGGTTGCAGGGAAGGGGGTGATTGCGGTTGGATTTGACTCGCATACAACTAATAACCTGTGCTTGTATGATATTCACTGTTTCTTAAAACGTTTATGTATTCAGTAAATATTATTATACTGTATGATTACTTTTGGACATAATATTTATCAATTTTGGGTTTAGACAAATGTACAGCATAATTAATATGTTATTATTTACCTAAAATGGCATCATTCTGAAAATTGACATGCGACATCATCTGCAGACTTTCTATTTCTTCATTCAGTGTTAGTGATTCAGTAGAAACTGTTAAAAAAATTTATATTTATATTTATATATATATATATATATATATATATATATATATATATATATATATATATATATATATATATATATATATATATATATATATATATATATATATATATATATATATATATATATATATATATATATATATATATATATATATATATATAGATATATTTATATATATATAGATATATTTATATATATATATATATATATATATAACAAATATAAAACATTTTCCGTGTTGATATACAGTTATACATTTTCCGTGTTGATATACGTTGTGTTTCCACATAATTTCTCGTTTTCCCAATTTCCACGAGTGTTGATATAACTTTAATATCAATATACAGAAAAAATGTTTTATATTTGTTTTATAATATATAGCACAAAGAAACATAAAGAAAGAAATTTTCGGACGTTTCCGTGTTGACATTATATCAACACAGCTCTTAGCCAATCAGCGTTCAGAATTTACAAACGCTATATTATAAATATATTTTAAACCCTAATGCCAAGTGGGCAAGCATGGAATTATTGATTTGAAGCATTTTCCTCTATGACCACTTTAACATCAAACTCACAGTAACAGGGCAGCAAAGAGGACAAATTACCCTTAAGGCCTGGCTGCAACTTACAGGATCCCCCCAAAGTTTAGCATGCCTCTGCATAAGATGGGCTATATTGTCTGTTAATTTTGGTGATACTACATGTAGCACTGTTTTTGCAAGATGAAAATTTTGATCAATTTGCATGTGCCTAATTGCAAAGTCACTCTACTGCCAAGATCAGTGATTGTTAAAACAGTGGCAAATTTCAAAACACAAAGTAAATAATAAAGTAGGGCATATCAGAGCACATTGCCACTTAAACTAAAAGGGCTAATATTGCAGGCTTACATTCAGTTGTTGATCCTGATACGTCTTCGTCCACTACAAAAATTTGGGGTTCTCCAGTTGTGTGCATGCTGGATTCACCAGTTGTTGTCATGCTGGATTCACCAGTTGTTGTCATGCTGGATTCACCAGTTGTTGTCATGATGGATTCACCAGTTGTTGTCATGATGGATTCACCAGATGTTGTCATGATGGATTCACCAGATGTTGTCATGCTGATTTCACCATTATCAAGTGTCATGCTGGATTCTCCAATTGCTGTCACACTGGGGTCTCCAGTTGGTGTCATGCTGGATTCACCAATTGTTGTCATGCTGGATTCACCAGTAGCTGTCATTCTGGATTCACCACTCGCTGTCACATTGGATTCACCAGTTGCTGTTATTCTGGGGTTTCCAGTTGGTGTCATGCTGGATTCTCCAATTGTTGTCATGCTGGGTCCACCAGTAGTTGACATGCTGGATTCACCAGTTCCTGTCATGCCCGATTGGGCTATGTACTAAACAGTAAAACAATACCAATTCCCAGAAAAATAGCCTGTACTGTAGAAAAGGTTTTGACATTTTATATACTTTTATAATTTATGTTAATGATTTTTTGTTTACTTTATGTTTAATACTTCATGTAAAAGAGAATATAGGAAACATTAGTACACAGAAAAGTATATTGTGTGTAATTTGAGTAATTTTTGTTTCGAAAGTTGATAATTTTAATAGTAGGATTCAGAATAAAGTTCTAGTAAATTACTCAGGTTAACTTTACAAGGTCTTTGCTTGAAATATCAACTGAACGTCTTGAAGTATATCAACTGAACGTCTTGAAGTATCAACTGAACGTCTGAAGGTTTGTTATAAATTTGTCATATGAACTGTATAGTTTCATCCTGTGCCAGAGTTTGGCAATTTATTAACAGTAACGTTACCTGCTGAGCGATGCCATAAACCACTAGCCAAAAACCCACCATCCCATCACAGATCCCTCACTTACAGAGCTAGTCTCACTTCTGTGGGAAAACCGTAAAGGTCGTAAAAATTTACCAAAATAGCTGGCAGTTTTAGCTTGTGCACAGTCCCAGACTGACACCATGTTCTTGCAAGTGCCCTAACAAGAGGCATTCACCCCCCTGGAACATTAAATTTCAAATACATTTTCAGGGGGGTGACTTAAAACGGGCTAAATTATCCTGAAGTGAGAATTCTGTATGTAAGTACTCTGTGATCCCATCCCGTTAATGTATAAAAATTATATGTATTAAAATTATAAATTATTTAATACCTTGTCTATAATATCAAAGTCAGGGTCACTGTCACTGCAGTATGATGGCCTGTACAGAAATTCCAAATAATCTTCTGTCTTGCAAATGTAGAACGTCAAACGTGTGTATGCTTTTCCAATATCTTTCTTGTATTTTTCCAGGGTAAAGGGTTCCTCACTACCAGGTAGGTTAATAACTTTGGTTCGATCTGGGTACAATAGAGTAAACCTAAACGCTCCAAACGTTAAATCGCTGTTAAATTTTACGATTTTCTCGGCAGCTTTATTCAGCAATTCCGTAGAACCAATAGTTGGGCAGACTGTAAGAGGCAATGAACTTCCTCTAACGAATTTTAAATCATTGTCGCGAAGTTTTTTTAGAGCAATATTTATCTTAACTTCACTGGGCGTTTTCTCGTTTCCCTTCTTTTCTATCTTCGCTTTCTTTGCTTTTGGTTTGAATCTCGAGCTTCTTTCTTTCTCTTTACGCTGACGATATTCGTTAAAGGACACTGGTGTCCGCGATTGACTTGTTGATGCTGGCGTTGTCGCATTTGTTGATGTTGGGATAACTGTGCGGCCTGTATCACAATCGACACTGGAAGAAGGCTTTTCGTTGACTGAAGAGTCTTGACCACAAACGTGACAAAATTTTGCATTAATAAGTAAAGAACAGCCGCATTGACTGCAAAACATTTCCTCCACAAAGCAGTAATACAATACTCAGAAACATGTGCTGATGTGCAATGTCGCCAATAATGTCGCCACTGTTTGCCAGTTTGTGCCTGCGCGCGCATGTTTGCACCCAAAAGTTTTTTTAATGTTTGCACCGAGTTTTTATTTAAGTTTGCACCGAGTTTTTATTTAAGTTTGCACCGAGTTTTTATTTAATGTTTGCACCGAGTTTTTATTTAATGTTTGCACCGAGTTTTTATTTAAGTTTGCACCGAGTTTTTATTTAAGTTTGCACCGAGTTTTTATTTAAGTTTGCACCGAGTTTTTATTTAAGTTTGCACCGAGTTTTTATTTAAATTTGCACCGAGTTTTTATTTAAGTTTGCACCGAGTTTTTATTTAAGTTTGCACCGAGTTTTTATTTAAGTTTGCACCGAGTTTTTATTTAAGTTTGCACCGAGTTTTTATTTAAATTTGCACCGAGTTTTTATTTAAATTTGCACCGAGTTTTTATTTAAGTTTGCACCGAGTTTTTATTTAAGTTTGCACCGAGTTTATTTAAGTTTGCATGTCCCTTGTGGGCCATCGTAATATTCAGATAGAAAGGCATTGTTTTACAGAACGACAGAGCTAGGGAGAAACATTGTTGCTGCGAAAATTGCTGGTAAGTTTGTTCATATTTTTACATTACATTTAAGTGAGCTGTACGCAAATTCGGTTCCGTTTGTTTACATATCATGGAAATTCGTATAGTTAGCTGTACTCGAAAGCTTTGGCATCATGCGTCAACTCTATGAAAATTATACCGAAAATTGTATTTTAAAACCACTAACGAGACACAGTACTAAAATGCGGTGCCCTACAAATAAAACTTCCGGCGTTTCCGCCTACAAGTAAAGTTGTATTTAATAGTACGCTACATTCTCCTGTCGGCCGCCAGTTGGTCCGCTCAAAATACTATCAAAATGAAGAGAAAACTGAGGCGAATCCACTGGTATATTTTGCTCAAAATACTATCAAAATGAAGAGAAAAGTGAGACGAATCCACTGGTATACGGCCGAAAACGAGAAAACCAACGATACCAAAGTTATCAAGGATCAAACGTACTGCATTTTTAATTAGTTTAATAATTATGAGCAATTTGTCAACAATGTCAATACAATTTCGCTTGACTTTCAAAGGCCATAAATCGCTAGAATACTGTTGTTTAGTAATACATTTGACATCCGTAAGTACATTTGCTTGCGCTGAATCGAACGGTGGTGTTTTTGTCCTTATTGGGCGCATAAAACCAGAGAGATAAGGCGAACCAGAGATAGCTAAAAGTCAATCGTGAAAGGATTATTTTGAGCGGCTTGTCTTTCAAAGGCCATAGAATAGAAATCAATTTTCCATCCATAATCACATAAATACAACTTTTTACGCTGATTCGAACAGGTGTGTTTTTGTCTTTGTTTGGCGCATAAAACCTGAGATAAAACCCAGCAAACAGTAGTTCCTGAGAGTGCAAGATTAATTAATTTTCCCGCAAAAATGAATAAATTCAGAGCACGTGCAAGGAATTTTTACTATAGGCGATTAAGGAAACGTATTGATCCGAACAAACTAACAAACAAACTCACAGGCAGAATATAAAGTATGCCAAACTTGGCACGGGCACAGCAATCTATGAAATTTAACCGAAAATTGCCCGCTGTTGGAAAATTAGGGCCTGAACTTCAGGTTATCCTATTGACGCCTTTTTGACCATAGGTAGCCCAGACACACTGTGCGATTTAAATTTAAATGCTTGGCATACTTAATTACCTCCTGCGGTTTCGACCTCAAAATAATAATGTTAACGATTAGCTCGAAAATATTCTGAATTTTTACACTAAAATGTAACACTAATCAATTATCGTTGAAGGAAATATACTTAGGTAGATAGCATGCATCAACAAAAATAAATATGTTTCAAGTGATTCTACTAATGGTATAAAATATTTGTTTTTGTTGATGCATGCTATGTACCTAAGTATATTTTCTTCACGATAATTATTGATTAGTGTTACATTTTAGTGTAAAAATTCAGAATATTCTCGAGCTAATCGTTAACATTATTATTTTGAGGTCGAAACCGCAGGAGGTAATTAAGTATGCCAAGCATTTAAATTTAAATCGCACAGTGTGTCTGGGCTACCTATGTTTTGACAGCAACGTTTCGCAAAGACAAAGGATCTGATATTTTAAACACTTCTGTCACTTGTCTATATATTTTTTTCTGGTCAAGGTTCTTGAGTTGTCGGTTTAATTTGCAAACAGAGTTCTTGAGACAAAAGCTTCAAATACCGGTTCACAACCAGCTCTTACACGACGGCGTCGACTGCAGAAATAAAATATTAATTAGGTACGTCTCCTCTGTTAATATGGAAGTCCATAATGATATACACCTCGATGCGGCCTAATATAGACCAATATATTGTACACACTTCTCTACTCTTTCTATAATAGGATTGTGTACTTGAATTCCAAAACATTTGCATATGTAATATCTGTACTTGAATTCTACTAAACCTAAACATATGTATAAGAGTCTTCTTGTGATTATGACTATAGTTCATTTTAATACGAAAAATTCAATATTGTCCTCTGCTCAATGTTAACTCGGTTGTCAGCATCATATGTAAACAGAATTCTTGAGTCAAGAATTCTGTGAAATATGATACAGATGTTATATATTTTCAAGTAAATATACAGTACGCTCTCATAATAACTCGAATGAGGTCGATACCTTACAAATATTTTCTTTCTGTGTACGGTTTTGAAACGGAAGTTGATGCTCCGATAAGAGTATTAACTTTCGTTTCAAAACCGACTCGTACACAGAAAGAAAATATTTGTAAGGTATCGATCTCATTCGAGTTAATATGAGAGCGTACTGTATCTGGGTTTTGTAGTCAATTTCAGTGGTTAGATTTGTATGTTAGGTATTATTTTTACTCATATTTACTTGAAAATATATAACATCTGTATCATATTTTTTATTGTGACTGTACATATGGTCTTATTGGTCTATTATTATATGGACAATGGTGTTTTACTGGAAATTAAAACACTCGTAGAACTCATACGTTGCTAAATGCGGGACCAGATGCGCCTATTTTCTGTATTTCACCCCTGCGAGTGACATACGAAGTTCGAAAATTTCTCTCCATTTTCATTGTCGTTGTTTTGAAAATACAAATGCCAAATGGTCTTTGGTTCGTATATAAAAATACTTTCCATTGTCTTTCTTGATAAATTATTCTTATCCAAATGCTTTTTTTGTATTTTTCTTGTTTTCTCCTTTGCTGGCGACGACGTAACAAAATAAGATAAAGGACACGTTTGTTCAGAGCCGCTGCCATTTTGAAATGAGCGCGAAATAGCGACAATAGTAATTTTAGCGACTGGAACGACAATCCTGGACAAAACATCTGCGACACTTCCAATTACTTGACAAAATGTCGTAATATTATCGTAAATTTAGAAAACCTCCCCCTTTCCCCCACCATTCAATGTTGACTGCATTCGTAGAATACGGATAAAACGTCCAACATTGTTTTGGGGGGTGGAGGGGGGCAAACGAGTAAATTATTCCGGTCTAACTGGTAAAAAATCCACAAAGGAATGTTTTAATAGAGTGTCGCAGATGGTTTTGTCCAGGATTGGAGTTTCATTGTTTCCTTTTCCGATCATTCCACTTGTCCTTTTACTGGAAATCGCTTGTTGGATCGGACTGGATCGGAAAAACCTCCGGTCCGATCCGCTGCTTATTTTCCGGAGTGGAGGTTAGCCTATATATGTGTCATATTCCTATAGTTTAGGGAAGGCTCAAATACACATTTCTGCCAGAAAGACGTTAATATCACGTCTTGGAGGGTGGGGATTTATTTCCTAAAATATTCGCTTGAAAACTCTAAATTCAAAAAGACTCTAAACTATATCTTGAAAAATTCTGAAACACGCACCTCACATAAACTTAAAAGGGCATGATCAACTACATGCAATGCGTACGTTTGTTTACGTCTCTGTTACATTGTGGGCCAGAGGCAGCCATTTTCGTTACACAAAGGCAGCCATTTTCGTTCGACAGGTTAAACAAAGATTAGACAATTCGTGACATGGGAAAGAAACAGGATTGTCGTCCCAATTGATACCTAACCCCTAAAACAAATAGTCTAAAGTCATGGGCGTACCGGAAGGAATAAATTAGGGGGGGGGATAGAAATTTGCCCGTGTGGAGGGGGGGGGGAGTGTTGGGTTTACGGCGGTTGTCATTCTTTATAATATAATAATTCAACTTCGCATAAGTTCAATACAGATTTATTTCACACAACAGACAGAATACAACTAACAGTTTTACAGTGGTTTATACATTATTTACATAGATATCGTTTTACTGTGATTGGTCAGTTTATCACCAAATATGGTAATGAGTCTCTGCTCCCTATTTATATGCAACTCTATATCATTTCAATTAACAAACAACAATATGTCTTTTATAACAACATGAATATATAATTATTAATCAATTACGTAATGCATAAGAGCACAACTTAACAGACATCAGCATTATTTTGGAGCACTCTCAAAAATGTGTTGTAGACAAAATTGAGGTAAAAATGCTACTTACAGTAACTGCCATAAACAAGAATGTGTAGGAATGCAACTACCTGAAAAAAAGAAAGAATTTTGACGTAATGTTGAGTAACTCCAGACGAAAGGTCGAAACGTCAAAATTCTCCTTATATTTTTCAGATAGTTTCATTCCTTCCAACGAAAGCTTGTTAATATTATTGACACTAACTACACTTGCACAGACTATCATTGTATCTTCGTAGAGAAATTTTGGGAAGAATTCATATTTAATTTGTTAATTAAAATTTTTAATTTAACTTTCGGAAGTAAATAATGGACCTATTCCCTAATGAACAAAATTTTGATCTAGACAAGTGTAGACAAAAGTTTCATCATTCCTGAAGGTTGACAGTAGCGTAGCCAGCCCGACGATTTAGTCCCGCTATGCAAATATTTTCGTGTTCATTGACTGTGAAAACAATCAATTTCTAAAGAAATGAATAATGATAATAATTTTGAATTTGCATAGCGGGACTGAATTGTCGGGCTGGCTACGCCACTGTAGGTCGAGAGTTTAAATCTCGTGTACTTATAAAGGATAAGAACTCATCACCAATCTCTGTAGACTTGATAGATCAACAGGTAGGGCAGTGGACTAGATTCCTGAAGGTTGAGATTTAAATCTCGTGTACTTATAAAAAGGATAAGAACTAATCGCCAATCTTTGTAGACTTGATAGCTCAACAGGTAGAGCCTAATTTGGAGTTTGAATAAATGCGAATTTGGCAAAAGTATAAAAAGTTCACACAGCAAGATAGATAACAGTGCCCATATACTTGAACAAAAATTTTTTAAATCTTTCAATGGACAATGAAATTTAACTTTGCTCGTTTCTATAAGGAATAAGGAGAGGTTAGACCAATTTGAAACATCTCATATTCAGTTATTTGGTATTTGAGTTGTTCTTTCATGATGAAGCCATGCAAGTTAAATTATAGTTGGAATTTCAAGCCGATGCATGGAATATATACAAATTCAAATGCATTAACATCTAAATGTCACAGACTCACAGCATGGTGGTCAAAATGGCATTGCCATTGTAAAACCAGACCAGTTATCGCAACAGGGTATAATGAGAGACTGACACTTTAATAAATCACGATGTGTTTTGAACACAATACATATTACGACAAATTAAGGTGCTGTTTCAAACTCGAAGTTTGTTGAGCGGCTCGACAAACTTTTCGTTCTCTCCCGACTTCTCGCGTGCTCAATAACTCGATTGAGCACGTTAGATCACGAAAAAACCTTAAATTTTATATAAAAATATATCACCTGCCAAATATCGTTACTTTAAAGAATTAGTGTCAGGCTTTTGTTATTGTTTTGTGAATGTTGTGATCAAGTATAGTTCAGAAGAACAATAAAAAACTGTACATGCATGAGTAAACTAATACATCTGAAAGATTGCAAACATATTTCACAGATTGCATGGGGGGCTGGAGTGGGGTTCATCCCCCTCCCCCAAGTTAGATTATGTTAGGGCAGATTTTACTTAAAAATAGGACAATTTGCTAGGTTTGCCCGCCTCATGATAAGTACTGTTTAATAAGCGAGTAGGAGTGTTTTATCACATATAAAGCACGACGCGTAGCGGAGTGTTTTATATGTGATAAAACACGAACTACGAGTTTATTAAACAGCTTCAAAAACGTCTCAGTTAGATCACGGCATTGGCGAAATAATTTTCCAAAATAACTTTGTATTAGCTGAGAAAATACAAGTTGAAATTGGAAGCGTGTTTTATCAAATATAAAGACACGCCACGCTTATGATTTCTCTTTGTGTTTTCCTCATGAATTATTAATGAGTTTTTGAATGTTGATTAGAAAGATAAATTATGGGTTCACAATATTTAAAAAAATCTTTCTTTGAATTGCAGTGAACCAACAGGTTTACCTGTTGTGACGTCACCAACACAATATTGTAATTAATACAATATCAATTCTCCGTAATGTAGGGTGTTTGCTGGAAATATTGCGTACAGAAACATACCATCCAGTAGATGCCAACAATGTCTGTTCTCAGCGAAATTTACAAGTTTGAAGGTGAAAAAGAGAAAATCAAGATTCTCAAACCATTATGGAATGTAATTACAGATTATCTTGTGATATTTTTGGCAGTGATGTCCATAGTATTTGGAGGTATGCAAATTACATCTGGCAATTTCCAGTGTTTGGCTGCCGTTGATTGCCCAGGTATTTCAAGATCAAATATGAGCAGCTTCTTGTTGTCACATATTAAATATCGTAATGTTTGTAAAGCATTTTACAGTTCTCAGAAAACCAACATTGTAAAAAGAACAGACGTCGTGACCGACCTTAAAACCAGTCTTTATTACACCAATTTTGTCAATTTGGAATGCAGTAAAAGCGCTATTCCTGACTTTCTTGTCTACTTTTGGTTTGCAATATTTATTCAAGCATTTATCCTTATCGTACTTAATAATCTGTGGCTTAAACTCCCTCATACTGCGTCAGTTATTGAAGATTTTGTATCCCTTGTGATAGAATGTTATGCTTCACCATTCCCAAATTTCGTGTCAACGCAAACTCGATCAGACAAACGTGTAAGAGATCATGCAGTTAATCAGCAGCCAGATAGCACGAATAGCGAAACGGCAAGGCTTGTCCCTGACAATAATGGTAACCAACCTCACGAATTTGATAACATCTCACAGAATCCTTCAAGATGTCATGCAGATGGTCAGCAGCCAGACAGCAGCGATATCGAAATGGCAACGCTCCTCCCTGACAGTAATGCATGTAACCAACTTCACGATAACATCCCGCAGAATCCTTCAAGACGTCACGCAGATGATCAACCGCGAGATACCAACGATATCGAAATGGCAAGGCTCGGCCCTGACTATAATGGTAACCAACCTCACGATAACATCTCGCAGAATTCTTCAAGACGTCATGCAGTTGATCAACCGCGCGATACCGACGCTGCAGAAATGCCCGCCTCTAACAATGATGGTAACCAACCTTACAATTTCGATGTCTTACAGGATCCAGCAACTATACCTTACAATTTCAATGTCTTACAGGATCCAGCAACTATCAGTGCGGTTAAAACTTTGTATGAAAAGGTACATACATTTAAGGAAAATGTTGAATCGTCCCAGAAAATATGGCGGTTATATTTGTTTCAAACTGTACTTCAAGCTTCATTCGCGATCGCATTCTTCGTTTTTGATATTTACTTCATGAAGGACTTAAAAGGAACAATGACCTGTACACTTAATCAACACATCCCTGTGGCTCATGATTATTTCATTTGTTCACATAACCTGGCGCCTACATATGTTTGGGGATTGAAAGTGGTATATCTTCCAACGCTAGCGTTCGCTTTTGCCATCTTTATTTTTACCATTGCATGGACGTTTAAAAGAAGAGGTAAAAACAAATTTGAATATGACTTTAAAAAGAAACGTTTGCCTTCGCCGCGAGCAAATGTGATGACTGATACTTTAACAGTGGATAAAGACTTTGGTTTTCTTCTACACTTATTGCACTCCTACAATAAATTGTACGTAGTCCGATTCGCACACTTTTTGTCTGAAAAGAACAAAGAGACATTCCAAATTTTTCAAGCGAAAAGAAATTATGTTTTGAAAAAACGAAATAATGCTTTGAAAGAACTAATGCTGTCTCCAGTCAGGCATCAGATCGGCCAAGATGAGGTCGACGGGGAACTATATCTGCCTGACACTGTCTGGCTTGATCAGCACTTAACTTAACCTGAGTATCAGACTCTATTTTACAAATAGAGCCTGACACAAAACTTAACCTGATCGCTTTCCGCCCACAGCAAAGTTTATATTTAGTATCCAATCAAAATGTCGCAGGAGAACTTTAAATTTCACACAACGACAACAACAATCTAATTATAGCATAGGCAGCCCACTAAACGGCTGAATTTAAATTAAAACTGCAATGAACTTATAAAATTAACAAAAATAATCACAAATTAGCGAAATATATTGCAAATGTAGCTTCAACCTCGTTCCCAGGCTCTTTGCTCTTGGGAAGCAAAGACCCTGGTCGGAGCTGGTCACGTGACCCATAGAAAATTGATAGCCCAAGAGGGGGATGGAAAAGTCTCATATTACATGTTTCCACTTCCGCAGTTCGCAGTTCGATTGCAAGGAGTGGCCGTTCTGTACAATCATCTAATTCATCTTCGAGAATCGTATATACCTCAAACTACTTGCTAAATTGGTTTCTGTTTGCTTTTAAATTATACAAACATGTTAAATGCAGATTCTTATAGCAACAGAAAATTCAGGCAGTCAAGCAACGAGAACGTATGACTGTACGCTTTGAAATATTTTTATTTTCTCGGGGTTCGCCGGTTCGGGCGTAGTTTCATTTCACGCGTGCGTTTCTGTTCTGGCTCTGATTTTTATAATATGCTTATAATATGCCAATGAATTGTTCTGATATGGACACGGTATAAATTTTGTTAAACAGGTATCTCAAAATCGACTGTTTATAGGTCGTAGGATTAGCGCCTTGCCGGTCTTAAACGTGACACATTTGGACACAAGCCAAATACACATTGAATGCCCATTCTATTGATTCTAAAACTGTTTATAGACATATTGCTCTAGATTTTTTTAAAAGGTTATCATCGTTTATGTTAAACACCAGGAAGACAAAATATAACAAATCGACAGTGCACAGCTTGAAATCGACAGTGCACAGCTGACATACGACAATTCACAACTGCATGAATTTCCTTTTTTGTCGATCTGCACGAGTACCTGTTTGTTGAAGCCAAAATATTGCACAGCATCTCCTATAAATTCTATCGCCATTTACCCTCTCCCCTTAAATGCAAAGGAATGACAGCAGAAAAGGTTTAGCAAAGTATTTTTTATTACATCTGGTATAAAGTGTCCTACGTTTTATCAGGATATACATAATTCATAAATTGTATATGCACACGAAGTCTCGCTTATATTAATGAGTTTTACTGTAACAAACCTTTTAAAGTTTTCATGGATAGATAGGTTGTTTGCCTCCAGTATTGTTTGGTAAAACAGACTAAACTTCTAAAATATTGGTTACGGAATACGATAAAGATTAAAGTTGATTTAAAAATTGATTTAAACTCAGAGCGGCATTAATCCATTATACAAGTCTAAAGAAGCTGGATTATTCTTCAATAAAGCCCTCAATGGACAATGTCAATGAAAGGTCTAATATTATACATGTTGCAAATTACTGTATACACAAAATATGAAATAATTTATATAAAGTACAATACCAGTGTCTGGTGCATATATCGTCGTAGATAT